AAAAAAAAAAAAAAAAAAAAGAGATGTGTTCAAGAATATACATCACAACACTGTACATGACAACAAAGAGTGGGGAACAACCCAATATCTGAACAGGGAGATGGATCAATAACATTTGGTACATGCAGATGATGGAATGTAGGTCAGCTTAAAGGAATGAATTAGATTTGTTTATTCCAACATGAACAGATTTTGAACGTATAAAGGTAACTGAAAAACAAAGAGAGGTTTATAAGATGTATCATTTATGTAAAATAAAGACACAAGTGCCTACAGGTGAGATCTGGGGAGGGCAATGGAGGAGAAAAAATGAAACAGGCATGTGTGGGTCCATAGTGACATTGTGGTACCAGCTGAAGATTAGGAATGTTCTAGTTATGTGAATCTACACTCCAAAAAGAAAACATTTAAAGGGTGCAGTGGGGAGAAGATGTGAAGAAATGGGACACAGATTTATCTTAATTTTCTAAAGATAAAAAAAGCAGTAGAAGCCACACTATGGCTCATCATCTCAAAAGAAAAAAAAAATATTCCAGAGTGAATGACATCAGATAATTGATGGTGTTCCTGTAAAAAAAAAAAACAGTCTTCTTTGGGACTACAAGGAAAAAGAATCTTCTGAAAATTGATAGCCTTGCTGCATTTTTCTTTTGGTTCATTTGCTTATTTGTCTGCTTACTCATTTAAAGGTACATGTACTTCTAAGCACCTCTGAACCAAGTAGATCTTCTACTCACCACAGGAATATATCGTTGACACAGCTCCTGCACTTTTGAAATGCCACACACATACACACAAATTACAAATTTTGATAAGTGACGCTGAGGAGAAGTACAAAGTCAAATAAGATCCTAAAATTAGGAACCTAGACCTTCTCTAGGGGTTAGGAAAGGCATCCGTGGGGAAGAAACATTTGTTCTGAGTCCTAACAGATCCTAATGGTCCTAACAGATAAAACAGATGCTATTACGGTAAAAAAAGAAAAGGGACAGCAGAGAAGAAGAGCATTCCAGGAAGAACAAACTGCTTGTGCAAAGGCCCTGGGGTGGAAAAATCTTTGAAAGGAGGTTGGCATAGTTAGAGTTTAGGAGAAGAGGGGAGGGAGCACGGCCGCAGTGAGCCCAGGCAGGATGGCAATGATTGTGAATTTGGATTCTTATGATGGTGAGCAGAGTGGGACTCACCGGAGGGTCTGAAGTTTGCACTGGGGATGCTTGAGGCCCTCACACAGCAGTAGTACCCCAGGGTCCCCCAGGTCATTCAGGCTGAGGTCCAGCTCCATCAGGCTCTGGTTCACACTGAGGGTGGAGGCCAGGTCTTTACAAGCAGCAGCAGTGAGGCGGCAAATCTTCAACCTGCGGGAAATCCAATTCAACACGTATTATGGAGTGTTTTCCGTACAATGCTAATTTCATCCTCCCTCCAATCTTGAAAGTAATGTATTTTCAAATGAACAACTCATTGAAAAAAAATGGTCAAAGGCTGGAGCAGACATTTCTCCAAAAAAGATACACAATGGGCACAAATCACAAGGAAAGATGTTCAACATCACTAATTACTAGGGAAATGAAAATAAAAACCACCATGAAATACAATCTTACACACATTAGGATGGCTATGGTAAAACAAAACAAAACCAAAAAAACAGAAAATATCAAGTGTGGGTGAGGATGTGGAGAAAATGGAAACTTTACGCACTGTTGGTGGAAATGTAAAATGGTGCAGCCGCCGTGGAAAACAATGTGGCGGTTCAGCAAAAAATTAAAAATAACCATACGATCCATCCATTCTATTTCTGCTTATATACCTAAAAGCATTGAAAGTAGGGGCTGAAAGAAATATTTGTACACCAATGTTCATAGCATTATTCAAAGTAGCCAAAAGGTGGAAGCAAGCCAAGTGTCTGTGAATGGACAAAGGAATGGATAAACAAAATGTAATATATTCATGCAGTAGAACATTATTCAGCCTTAACAAGGAAGGAAATTCTAACACATGCTACAACATGGATGACCCTTGAAAACATCAAACTAAGTGAAATGAGCCAGTCACAAAAAGACAAATACTTTGTGATTCCACTTGTATGAGGTATGTAGGGTAGTCATATTCACAAAGACAGAAAGTAGAACTCACCACAAGATCCGCAGCCTACAGACTGGGTGCCTCAAGCCTTGACACAACAGCCTCACACCCAAGTCCTCCAGCGCATTTCCCGTCAGGTCCAACTCCACCAGATGTCGATTGGTGCTGAGCACGGAGGTGATCTCCTGGCAAGCCCCAGCCTCCAGCTGACACTTCCTCAACCTCGGGAGGGAAGAGACGCTGAAGAGGGCGCCACCTTGTTTTTCTGAATCCTGATGGCTCATCCCCTGGCCCGTTTATCACCCAACACGAACCTACACATGTCACTAAAGCTACGGAGATGAACAAGACTTTGACATTTCCAGCAAACAGCATCCTGTCTAATAAGACAAATGGGTAAGCAATTCCTATCCAATGTAGGTTGGTGCCTTCGAGGTCGTAGAGCACACTAGTTCAGAGTCGGGTCTCTAGAACGCAGCAACCTGCGTTTGCATCCATCTCCGCTAACCCTGTGACCTCAAGCAAGTTTTCATCAGGTCTCAGTTTTAGGTTTCATGAGCCACCGTGTCTCAGGTTCATTGACTCTAAAATAATGATAATAATAGTGCCTACCTCATAGGGTTGTTGTGAGGATTACAAAATCTACTAAAGGGAGAGGGCATAGAACCTGGCTTGGCACATAGTGAGAGCTCAATCAACACGAGCTACTGTTTATTAAAACCATCATGGTGGAGGGGCCACCTTACTTAGCTTTGGCAAATGGTGTAGAGTTAGGGAAGGCTCTCTGGGAGAATTTGAGCTGGTTCTCAAAGGTTACGTAGGAGTTCACTCTGAGGAATAGGATGAGACGTGGTGTGAGATAATAGAAGATATATGTATTGGTCTATGCCCCTGGTTCCTGACACAGAGCTCCTAAAGCTCTTGTAATTTCCTAAGTGATAAGAACATTAGGAGCATCTTTTCTTTTATTGAGGTGACTCTGGGTGGGCTCCTGGATGGGGGCTGGTCACCAGAAAGACTAAGACATGATTAGAAGTTTGGAATTTTTAGCCCCATCCCCCATTCTCCAGAGAGGGGAGACAGGCTGGAAATGAAGTTAATAATTGATCATGCCTACATGAGGAAGCCTCCACAAAATCCCAATAGTAGGGAGTTCAGAGAGCTTCTGGGTTGGCAAACATATCCACACCAGGAGGGTGATGTACCCCAACTCTACAGGGACAGAAGTTACTGTGCTGGGGACCCTCCCAGACCTCAACCTATGCATCTCTTTATCTAGCTGTTTATCTGTACCGTTTATCATAACCTTTAATAAACTGGTAAACATAAGTAAGTGTTTCTCTGAGTTCTGTGAGCTGATCTAGCAAATTAATCGAACCTGAGGTGGGGGTCGTTGTCATTCAGAAGCACAGGTGACAACCTAGACTTGTGACTAGCATCTGAAGTGGGCAGGGAGCAGTCTTCTGGGAGCCCTCAACCTGTGGGATCTGATACTATCTCTAGGGTAGATAGTGGCAAAATTGAGATAAATTGCAGGATACCCAGCTGGTGTCACAGAATTGCTTGGTGTGGGGAACCTCCCCCAACATTTGGTGACCAAAAGTGTCAGAAGTGAAGTGTTCTGTGTGAGTAGTCAAGGAGACACACAGGTGGGAAACTGGGTGATTTTCCTAAAAACAGTGGCTTTGCAGGAAAAGGGTGCTGCAGAATGGAAGGATCTTTGTGCGGGGAGCACTGGGGTCTGACTTCCCAGGATGTGGTCAATGAGTGGGGTGTAGGTTCTGGGTGGGCAGGTGGCCCCAGGGACTCCTCACCATATGGAAATGGATGGGGACATAGGAGGCAGAAAGAGGCTCTCTAAAGTGCGAAGAGTCCAGGGCAGGTATCTAAGGTCATGGGTCTAAGGGCAGCCTTCTCTGTCTCGAGCCCTTGGAGACAATGAGCTTGTCCTGGGGAGATCACGCAGATTAAGAACTTGTTCTGGGGGACAGAGACTCACTGAATCATCTGCAGCCTGCATCTGGGATGCCGGAGCCCCTCACAAAGCAGTTTGATGCCTGGCAGCCCCAGGCCATTGCCGCTCAGGTCCATCCTTATTAAATTCTTATTGGCTATCAGAGCTGCTGTGAGGTCCTGACAGGCAGAGCTGGAAACTCGGCACCTCTTCAGCCTAGGATGGAAAGAAGGAGAAAGCCAGGTCATTTCCCTTATCCTTTCCCTCCCTCTCTCTTTTCGTTATACCTATTTTTCCCTTTTTTAAAAATAAAAGAAAGGAGGTTAGTGGTTGCCAGGGGCTGGGAGGAGAAGGATTGGAGGAATGACTGCTGTCCAGTACAGTGTTCCTGTTTGGTGTGATGAAAATGTTCTGGAATTAGATACTGGTGATGTTTGCACAATCTTGTGAATATACTAAAAAGAAAAATCATTGAGTTTTCTGGTATGTGAATTACATCTCAATAATAAAAATAATAAAAGCAACAAGAATAATGTAAAACGTTTTGGTGCTTTTGCAATCAAGGAAATGCCTTCACAGAGGTTGCCTTTGTTTTTTGTTTTGTTTTTTTTTAATAATTTTATTTATTTATTTATTTTCCCCCCAAAGCCGCAGTAGATAGTTGTATGTCATAGCTTCACGTCCTTCTAGTTGCTGTATGTGGGACGCGGCCTCAGCATGGCTGGAGAAGCAGTGCGTCGGTGCGCAACCGGGATCCGAACCCCGGCCGCCAGCAGTGGAGCGCGCGCACTTAACCGCTAAGCCACGGGGCCGGCCCACAGAGGTTGCCTTTGAGAGAGGAATTCAAGACCCCTCACATTCATTCTTTCTCCATCACTACGAGAAGAAGAAGGTACCACGTCCTGAGCAGGTGTCAAGGTGGTCACTGGGTCACATTTGCTGGTTGGCAGGGCCACCACGGCTTAAAAGCTCACCACCAACATGTGGAAGTTCTTTATTCCTCTTCTTCCCTCCAGGCACCTGGAGTGGAAAGATACTTTTCTTTTCTTTTCTGTGACTTCCTTCCATAGCACCAGATGGATGGGGCAGAATGTGAGGTTTGGGGATTGCTGAGGAAAGAAGGCCCATGGGTCTCTAGTCTTGGCCGGTTACTCTGACCTGCCTTGCTGAAGTAACTTTTTTTTTTTTTCCCCTTTTTCTCCCCGAAGCCCCAGTAGATAGTTGTATGTCATAGTTGCACATCCTTCTACTTGCTGTATGTGGGACGCGGCCTCAGCATGGCCAGGCAAGCGGTGAGTTGGTGCAGGCCCGGGATCCGAACCCGGGCCGCCAGTAGCAGAGCGCGCACTTAACTCCTCAGCCACTGGGCCGGCCCCTGAAGTAACTTTTGATGGTATCATTTCCAGCAGAAAATGATACACATGTGGGCTTTAGACTCAAAGAAATCTGTAATCGAAACTCGACTATGCCATGGAGTAGCAGTTACAGAACCTTGTCCAAGTCACTTCCCCTCTCTCTAAGCTCAAGAAGATGGGGCTGATGGTGCTGACTCTAGTGAGTAGGTGAAAGTGTTTGATGACATGCTTAACCTCAGTACTGAGCATGGTTCCTTGCACATAGCAAGTGCTCAGCAAATTATGGTATTATTATTATTTTATTTTATTTTTGCTGAGGAAGATTGGCCCCGAGATAACACCTGTGCCCATCTTCCTCTATTCTGTACATGGAACGCCACTACAGCATGGCTTGATGAGTGGTGCGTAGATCCATGCCCGGGACCCAAACCTGCGAACCCTGGGCCACCAAAGCAGAGTGTGCAAACTTAACCACTGCGCCACCAGGCCGGCCCCAATAGTAGTAGTATTATTTATTTATTTTTAGTTACATTTTTTTTTAAAATTGTGGTAACGGTGATTTATAACATTATATAAATTTCTGGTGCACATCATCATATTTTGATTTCTGTGTAGATTACATCATGTTCACCACCCAAAGACTAATTACAAGCCATCACCACACACATGCGCCTAATCACCCCTTTAGCCCTCCTCTCTCCCCACTTCCCCTCTGGTAGCCACCAATCCAATCTCTGTCTCTGTGCGATTGCTGTTGTTTTTATCTTCTATTTATAAGTGAGATCATACGGTATTTGACTGTCCCTCTTACTTATTTTGCTTAGCATAATACCCTCAAGGTCCATCCACCTTGTCACAAATGGCTAGATTTCATCCTTTTTTATGGCTGAGTAGTATGGTGTTATTATTATTATTATTGTTATTATTATTATTATTATTATTATGCTTTCCTTGGGATTGGGCCCACGTCCCGCTCACAAAATGGTACTTGGCTTTCCCATACCTTGATCCCTGTGTGTGTCTTTCTTTCATGACACTTTGAAGGAACAGAGCTATGTTGTGCATCAGGACTCAGACATGCTTGGTTTTCTTAGTCAAGTGTCACTCCAGTTCCTCTAAGCTATGCCTTAATATTATCATGATCAATAATGACACGCACTGTTTTTTTGTGTGTGTGAGGAAGATCAGCCCTGAGCTAACATCCACGCCAATCCTCCTCTTTTTGCTGAGGAAGACTGGCCCTGGGCTAACATCTGTGCCCATCTTCCTCTACTTTATATGGGACACCACCACAGCATGGCCTGACAAGTGATGCATTGGTGCGCGCTGGGATCCGAACCAGGGCCACCAGCAGCGGAGCGCATACACTAACCACTACGCCACAGGGCCAGCCCCATAACATGCACTTTTGATAGATGATGATAGATGATAGATAGATAGATAGATAGATAGATAGATAGATAGATAGATAGATGGATAGATGATAGATAGATTTAATTTTTAATTTAAATTGTGGTAAAATACACATAACATAAAATTTACCAACTACTTTTAAGTGTACAGTTCAATAGTGGTAAGTAGATATTTCACATTGTTGTGCAATCAATCTCCAGAATGTTTTCATCTTGCAAAACTGAAACTCTGTCCCCATTAAAGAAAACTCCACATTCCCCCTTCCTCCCAGCCTCTAGCATCCAATAATCTTTCTTGAATCCTTCTTTATGTCTTATTTCCAATTGTGTGAGCCCGTAAAATGACTTACTGTTTTAGCCCCTTTAGAGTTCAGTCTCTATTACAAGCAGTTAGAAGCATATTAACTGATAAAAGCATAAAGCAGAAAAAACTATCTCCCATAATCTTACTCTAACATAAAGTTTATCATCTTAACCATTTTTAAGTGTACAGTTCAGTGGTATTAAATATATTCACATTGTTGTGCAACCATCACCACCATTCATCTCCAGAACTTTCTCATCTTCCCAAACTGAAACTCTATACCTGTTAAATGATAACTCCCCATCTCCCCCTTCCTCTTGGCCCCTGGCAACCATCATCCTGCTTGCTGTCCCTATCGATCTGTCTCTTCTGGACACCTCCATTGTGTATTCTTGGCACCCCTTGTTAGGATCAGTTGGCCGTAAACGTGTGGGTTTATTTCTGGGCTCTCTATTCTGTTCCGTTGGTCTTTGTGTCTGTTTTTATGCCAGTACCATGCTGTTTTAATTACTGTAGCTTTGTAATATAGTTTGAAATCAAGAAGTGTGATTGGAGCTAGGAAGCCTGGAAAGGGGAAGACAAAAATAAGAAAAGTAAGAGATAATGATGCCTGAACTATTGATCCCCATCTGTTGTGGGCTGAATCATGTCCCCTACAAAATTCATACATTGAAGTCCTAACCTCCCTGAACCCCAGGGTGCGACTGCATTTGGAGATAGGGTTTTTAAAGAAGTGATTAAATTAAAATGAGGTCACTAGAGTGGGCCCTAGTCTGATACGACTGGTGTCCTTATGAGAAGAGATTAGGACACCAACATGCAGAGTAACGGCGATGTGAGGACACAGGGAGAAGACGGCCGTCTACAAGTCTCAGAAGAAACCAACCCTGCTGACTCCTTGATCTTGGACTTCCAGCCTCCACAACTGAGAGAAAACAAATGTCTGTCATTTAAGTCACCCAGTCTGTGGTAATTTGTCACAGCAGCCCTTAGCAGATGAACACACCATCCTTTTTTTTTTTATTTGCTGAGGAAGATCAGCCCTGAGCTAACATCCGTGCCCATCTTCCTCTACTTTATATGGGACGCTGCCACAGCATGGCTTGACAAGCGATGACTCGGTGCGCGCCTGGGATCCGAACCCACAAACCCCGGGCCGCCAAAGTGGAGCGCACGCACTTAACTGCTGTGCCACCGGGCCAGCCCGCGAACACACTGTCCTAATGTCCTTTCCAACTGAGCCCCATGAAAGGCTCAGTGGCAGGACCATCAGGAGCCCACAGACCCACCTTGACTCACCTCAGGTTCTGAAGTTTGCAGTTGGGGTGTCTGAGTCCCTGACACAGGAGCTTCACCCCCCGGCTTCCGAGGGCATTGCGGTACAAAACCAGCTCTATCAGATTTGGATTGGTGCTCAGAGCAGCAGCAAGCTGTTCACTGTAGGCATCTGGAAGAACGTTCCTCTCGGGTCTGCATGAAGGGAAGACGAGCCAACGTCTAGTTCTACTGGCCACTTTACAATGATTATGTTTGACAGTTCATCATTTATGAAGTATTTTGTCATCTTTTTGTTTTCTTTTGAGGAAGACTGGCAACAGATGGTGCCAGTCTTCCTCTTTTTTTTTTCTTTTTTCTCCCCAAAGCCCCAGTACATAGTTGTGTACCCTAGTTGTAGGTTCTTCTAGTTCTTCTATGTGAGACACCACCTCAGCATGGCTTGATGAGGGGTGAGTAGGTCTGCGCCCAGGATCTGAACCAGCGAATCCCAGGCCACCGAAGCAGAACGCGCAAACTTAACCGCTACGCCACTACGCTGACAGCCGGCCCCATTTTGTCATCTTTATCTTCTTTTGGGGGGCGGGGGGATGATTGGCCCTGAGCTAACATCTGTTGCCAATCTTCCTCTTTTTCTTTTTTTTTTTTCTCCCCAAAGCCCTAGTACATAATTGTGCATCATAGTTGCCGAGTTGTAGCTCCTTTGTGTGGAGCACCACCCCAGCATGGGCTGACAAGCGGTGAGCAGATCCGTGCCCAGGATCTGAACCGGCGAAACCCCAGGCCACCGAAGTGGAAGGCGTGAACTTAACCACTGCATCACCAAGCTGGCCCCATTTTGTCATCTCTATCTTAATTTATCTTCTGAATGACCCTGTGTTACTTGCCCAAGCTCACATAGCTACTAAGTAGTAGAGAACAGACTTAAACCCTTGGACTAGGGGTGGAAAATGGATTTCATCTCACAGACGCACTCTGAGTGATTGGGAGAAGCCCTTGAAAGCTGAATGCTCAGAGGTAGCCTTTCACCCACACCCATGGTTCTCAGAGTGTGGTCCCGAGCCCAGCATCACCTGGGAACTTGCTAGAAATAAAAGTCCTCAGTCTCCAATGCAGCCCTACTTGATCAGAAACCTGTGTCTTTTTGTTTTTTTTTTAAAGATTTTATTTATTTATTTATTTTTCCCCCCAAAGCCCCAGCAGATTGTTGTATGTCATAGCTGCACATCCTTCTAGTTGCTGTATGTGGGACGCGGCCTCAGCATGGCCGGAGAAGCGGTGCGTCCGTGTGCGCCCGGGATCCGAACCCAGGCTGCCAGCAGCGGAGCACGCGCACTTAACCGCTGAGCCACGGGGCCGGCCCAGAAACCTGTGTTTTAAACAGCTTTCCAGGGCCATCCCGGTGGCGCAGGCGGTTAAGTGCGTGTGCTCCACTGCAGTGGCCCCGGGGTTCGCCAGTTCAGATCCTGGACACGCACCAATGCGCTGTTTGTCAAGCCATGCTGTGGCGGCATCCCATATAAAGTGGAGGAAGATGGTCATGGATGTTAGCCCAGGGCCAGTCTTCCTCAGCACAAAAAAAATAAAAATAAAAATAAACAGCTTTCCAGGTGATTCTGCTCATATTTGAGAACCACGGATGCACCCAATGATTTTCTTCACTCCCTTTCTTCACAGCTAATGAAAGTAGAATATCTCTACTGAAGAACAAGAGCCAGAAGTTACAAATTTGTGGCCTGGGAGCTGACTTCCTCTGATGAGCGTCAAATAATTTACAAATCAGATTTCACATGAAAATGTAGATTCCTAGAATTTCTTCAACAGCCATTTCGCTACACAGGCACCTCATGAGCACAAGGCAACAGCTGGCCACCATAAGTGGGCATGTGACACCCTTTTCAGCGTGACCTGCGGGCTCCTGGTCACCAGCCCACCTGACCTGCCTCCCTCATTTTCATGACTAGTCTGGCTGTATTGGTTCTGTATGGCTGTTTTAACAAATTACTGCAAACACAGCAGCTTAAAACAACATGAGTTGGTTATCTTACAGTTTTGGAGGTCAGAGGTCTGAAAGGAGTCTGGCTGGGTTAAAATGAAGATGTCACCTGGATCATGTTCCCTCAGGAGCCTCCAGGAGAGGATCCACTCCCGTGCATTTTCCAGCTTCTAGAGGCCACCTGCATCCCTTGGCTCTTTTTTTTTTTTTTTTTTTTAAAATTTTTTTTTTTTTTTTTTTTTCCCCCAAAGCCCCAGTAGATAGTTGTATGTCATAGCAGCACGTCCTTCTAGTTGCTGTATGTGGGACGCGGCCTCAGCATGGCTGGAGAAGCGGTGCGTCAGTGCACGCCCGGGATCCAAACCTGGGCCGCCAGCAGTGGATCTCGAGCACTTAACCGCTAAGCCACGGGGCCAGCCCCATCCCTTGGCTCATGGCCCACTTTCACGAATCTCATCCATCTGACCTCGCCACATAATATCATATCTTCTCCTGCCTCCCTCCATCCCTTATGATTACTTTGGGCTCAGTAATCCAAGATCATCTCCCGATCTCAAGATCCTTACCTTAATCACGTCTGCAGAGTCCCTTTTGCCATGTAAGGTCACATACTCACAGATTCCAGCATTAGGACATGGGCATCTTTGCAGGGGAGCCATTATTATGCCCATTTCACTGGCCTTGGCAAGCATTTGAATTTATAATTCCTACTAGTGAGATAATAGAAAATATATATATTGGTCTCTGCCCCTGGTTCCTGGCACAGGGCTCCTGAGACCCTTGTAATTTCCTGGGTGATAGGAGTGTCCCTTGTTCTAAGGAGGTGGCTCTGGGTGGGCTCCTGGATCGGGGCTGGTCACCAGAAGACCAAGCCATGATCAGAAGCTTGACGCTTTCAGCCCCACTCCCCATCCTCCAGAGGGGCTGGAAATTGAGTTAATGATCGATCAATCATGCCTATGTGATGAAGCCTCCATAAAAATCCCCAAAGTATGGGGTTCAGAGAAATTCTGGGTTTCTGAACACGTGGAGGTGCTGGGAGCATGGTGTACCCACAGAGGGCATGGAAGCTCTGAGCCCCTTCCCACATACCTAGCCCTATGCACCTCTTCCCTCTGGATGTTCCTTTATCCTGTATCCTTTATCATATCCTTTTATAATAAACTGGTAAACAGTAAGTAAACTGTTTTCCTGCATTCTGAGCCATTCTAGCAAGTAATCAAATCCAAGGGGGAAGAAGCCATGGGAACCTCCGATTTGCAGCCAACCTAGACAGAAGTTGTGAGTAACCTGGGGACCTATTACTTGTGATTGGCATCTGACATGAGTGAGAACAATCTCGTGGGACTGAGCCCTTAACCTGAATTATGTAGGACACCCAGATGGTGTTGCAGAGAATTGCGTGGCATGGGGAAACCTCCCCCACATCTGGTGTCAGAAGTGTTATGAGTATGGCAGAGGTGTGAGAGCAAAAGAGAGAAACACAGGAGAAGTGAGCTCTTCCTACACACCACTCCAGACCTCAGAGCCAGTCACTCCACCTCTGTAAACAAGGCTATGCTGGAGAGGTGAAGGATGCCTGCTTTCTCTGCCTGGATATACAATCTGACGTTTCGATTTTTGAGGTTTGGCACGGGGCGCCAAGATGCGTGGTCCAGACCTACAGGGATATCAATAAGACAAGATGTGATCTCACAGGTCAAAGGGCAAAGAGTAGGGCATTTCCTGCCTGGATGTGGAAGGGGCGGTGGATTTGGTACAAGAGGACTTTCAGAAGATATTGTAATTTTGGACCTTCTAAAATCTTTATGACAATCCCTTTCTCTGAATCAAGCTGGGATTAAGAATTGGCCTGATTCACATAGCATAGGTACAATATGCAGCCAATAAAATCTCTTAATTTACTTCTAGTTGTATAGTCTGTCTTATAACTTATATTTATTATATACAATTTTATATATAATTTATGTATATATGTTTTTATACATAAATGTGTTACACATACGTATACAAGTGTATATATACATATATATGTGTATGTGTGTGTGTATATATATATATATATGTATGTATATATGTAGATCCTAGAGACCTTAACTACAATGGAGCCATATGTTCTGGTGGATTTAACAAAATCATGTACTCAGAGTGTCTACGTTGTCACCTATGGTGCTGATGATGAAAAGAGTGACTTCCAAATTTTGTTGAGTTCTGACCCTGTACGTAACCCAGTGTGAAGCCTTTACAACCAGGCTTAAAAGGTAGGAATTGGGGGCCGGACTAGTGGCATAGTGGTTAAATTCGCACGCTCTGCTTCCGTGGCCCGGGGTTCGCAGGTTCAGATCCCGGGCAAGGACATACACACACGGCTTATTAAGCCATGCTGTGGTGGTGTCCCATATAAAGTAGAGGAAGATGGGCATGGATGTTAGCTCAGGGCCAATCTGCCTCAGCAAAAAAGAGGAGGATCGGCAACAGATGTTAGCTCAGGGCTAATCTTCCTCAAAAAAAAAAAAAAAAAGGTAGGAATTAAAATTCCCATTTTCCACGGAGAAAAACAGACTTGGGGCTGGCCTGGTGGCCCAAGTGGTTAAGTGCGCGCGCTCCGCTGCGGTGGCCTGGGGTTCGCCAGTTCGGATCCCGGGCATGCACCGACGCACCGCTCGGCAAGCCATGCTGTGGCAGCGTCCCATATAAAGTGGAAGAAGATGGGCACGGATGTTAGCCCAGGGCCAGTCTTCCTCAGCAAAAAAAAGAGGAGGATTGGCAGATGTTAGCACAGGGCTGGTCTTCCTCACAAAAAAAAAAAAAAGAAAGAAAAACAGACTCAACAAGGAGAAAGGTCACACAGCTAGTGAGGGGTAGAGTTGGGATTCCAATCCACGTGTGTTGGATTCCAAATCCTGGGCTATTTATTAACCACCACCACTTCTTGTATCCTACAGTACAATAATTTCAAGTCTTGGGCACACGGCCCTACATAAGCACACACAGTACACATTAATGACCTCCAGATCAGTGAGGAACCTGGTGACCAGAATTATGATTCCAGCGAGATGAAGAGTCGTGAAGAGCCAGGCAGAGTCTGATAACTGGAAATAAGCCCCAATCAGAGCGAGATGTTGACACATTAAACCTTTTACGCGTATCGCCAGGGTGTTTGCACTTGCTTTCCCCTCTCCCTAGGACGCCTCTCCTTCCTAAATTTTCACAGGGCTGGCTCCATCTCATCACTGAGGTCAGTAGCAGTCGTTTACTGAGCTGATGGGGAGGCCCTGAGAATCAGGACCCCACCCTCAGCAGTATTCAATGAGTCCTGTGGAATTAGTGCAACAAGACCCCAGCTCCCTGCCCCTGAGCAGCGGTGGGGACACTTCTGAGAAGTGGGAGGTGACATTGGCCTCCAGGCGCCCATTAGTGAGTGGCTTAATGGTGTTCCCTTTGTTGGCTTCCTTTCCTTGTCCTCTCTGCTTTCTGGGACCATCTCCCAATGAAACTGCTACCGGGGACCAGAATACACCACCCCAGAATACGCCGCTTTGGCATAAGGATTATTTTGAGCTGAAGGCAAATGAGATGCAGACAGAAGGCCCAGAGCTGCCCTTACCTGACCAAGAGCAGAAACTTCTGAAAAATGAGGACTGCCATTAATCCCCTCTCCTGGGGAAGTTTTATGGCCATGAAGAAGATAGAAAGTTGGTGTGGAGGGGCTCAAGACATGCTACCCTAAGATATGGTGCCTTGGCATACTGAATATCTTGAGCCAAAAGAGTTTGAGAAATCAGCAGAGACAGAAAGGTCATTCCGACACCTCCCCCACACTTCATCCCTAAAAGTAGGAGATAAATTTCTCATGTGTACCCAGGAGGGAGGGAGACATCCTTATTACCAGAGACAGGGATTTAGGGCCGAGGAGCCTGTATAAACAAACCTTGTTACTTTTTCACCATTTACTACCTCAAGCCCAAACCCCTCTGTCTCATCAATTCTTCACAAATTCGTTGTTTCTTTGTCTAAAAGGTATAAAAGCTTTCTGCTCTGGTCATTTCTTTGGGTCTTCATTCTCTTATGAAGACTCCCAAGTACACGTAAAAATTCAATAAAATTTATATGCTTCTCTCTTGTTAATCTGTCTTATGTCAGTTTAATTCTTAGGTCCAACCAGAGACCCAGAGAGGGTACAGGAGAGTTTTTCCTCCTCTACAGTTCTGTGACGGACCTGCACACTCAAACCTCACCCTATGAGTTTCCTCCATATATTTTCCATCCCACAATTTGCCACCCAAGAAACCCAAAGTTCTTTTCTTTTGTTCTGTCACTTCTCTAAAAATATATTGTTCTTTTCTTAAGATAAGATATAAGCCCAAGTTCTAACCATCCCTTTGAGCTACAGCTTCCTCAGAGCTTCCTTCTTTGACCATTCCCTTTCATGTTGCCCACCCTCATCCAAGTCACTGTCTAGTATATTACCCTGCTTTGTTTTCCTCATAATAGTTGTCTCCATCTGAAACTATCTTAATCATCAATTTTGTTTGTTTCCTTGTTTGCCTATTTATTTACTTATTCTTTATCTATCTCCCTTCTCATTAGGATATTTGCTCTGACAGGGGCATTGGCTGGCTTATTCACACTGTGTCCAGTCTACAGAAAAGTGCCCTTGATAATATTTATTGATTGAATACATTCTCCTTGACATGGACCCCAATTTAGTCCTAAAGAGTATTGTTTAAGAGCAGGACACTAACTTGTACACTTTTGACACTTGGGGGCCAGATCATTCTTTTTTTTTTTTAATTTTACTTATTTTATTTTTTTCTCCCAAAGCCCCAGTAGATAACTGTATGTCATAGCTGCACATTCTTCTAGTTGCTGTATGTGGCACGCGGCCTCAGCATGGCCGGACAAGCGGTGCATCGGTGCACGCCGGGGATCTGAACCCTGGGCCGCCAGCAGCGGAGCGCGTGCACTTAACCGCTAAGCCAGGGGCCGGCCCATGGGGCCAGATCATTCTTTGTTGAGGGGTGCTGTCCTGTGCATTGTAGGATGTTTTTGCAGCATCCCTAGCCTCTACCCGCTGGATGCCAGTAGTACCCCTCCTGTCTCCCCTAGTTGTGACAACCAAATGTTTCCAAGTATCTCCTGGAGTGGGAGCAAAACCACGCCCAGTTGAGAACATGAACTTGGCTAAGAGCATGAACTTGGAGAGGGAGCCCTGCGACTACTTACGACTGTGCCAGTGGCGTCTGGGGCCCTGAAGTCCATCTGACCCCGTCGTCTTCATCAGCACTGTAGGCAGTCCCATACAAGTGCAGCACCAGGGCATTTCTGCAGTTCTTCACACAAAAGGAGGAGACCATGTGCTCCATCTTGGTGGCAATGTTACTGACCACGACCACTTGGAAGTGGCTCAGGGCCTGTTGGATAAATTCCTCCTCCTGGATCTCGTACAGACAGCTGAAGAGCTCCAAGGAGCCCTGTTGCAGGGTAGAGCTCTCGCTCTGGGCTTTGCTCTGGATCCACTCCAACAGTTCCGCCTTGATGCGAGGCGACACCTTCCAGCGAAGGCTCTTCTCCAGGTAGCATCTCGTCTCCTCATTCAGGAGTCCAAACAGGAAACGGACGGTGAGTGCCAAGAAGCTCCTTTCTGAGAACCTGGACTCAGCCAACAGCCTCGTCATGTTGTGTTCTGGGCTGGATCCATGCTCCCCATCATCCAGGATATAGTACATGGCTGCAAAAAATTCCTGGAAACTCGAGTGGATGAAGCTATAGAACTTTTCACAGTTGATGTCCTTCTGGAAGATGTTCATGTTGAGGAAGGAAGACACATCCGTCCCATCGAGGCCGTGCTTCCGGAGGTCTTGTTCCTCAAATAGGATTTTCTGATTCCAGAGCCCATCGGCTGCCAAAGAGCAGAGCCCTCTCTGGTTGGGCGGGGTCTGGAGGGTTGGGGTCCCTGGCTTGGTTTGCATCAGACTCAGGAGGTAGAGCATGTACACTGCTGTCGTGGTCCTGGACGTCTGCCTTAAAAGCCCCCCATCCTCCAACTGCTGCTTGAGGCAGGTGCAAACGACCCAGCACACCAAGGGGACAAAGCACAGAGTGAAGAGGGGCTCGTTGTCCCTCACGAAATTAAAGACTTGGCCGGCCTGCTCCGCGTTGTGGAAATACTTGTAAAAGTACTCCTTCCTTTCTGCCTCAGAGAAGCCCAGGATCTCTACGTGCCTGGGATGCTCCAGCAATCGGTGGAGCTTCTCCAAAGCCGTGGGCCTGGTGGTGATAAGCAAAGACACCTCAGGCAGCAGCTTCTTCCGAATCAGGCTACTCAGGAGAAGCTCCGTGGGCCGCTTCTCCTCCCAGCAGAGGCACCAGGGGCCCGGAGGGTCATGGAAAGAGGGCTTGAGCTCATCAAAGCCGTCGATGATAAAAAGGAGGCGCTCGGGAGCTCGGATGAGCTCGGGGAGGGGCGCGCTGGGCTCGGGCCAGCAGCTGGAGATGAGGTCTTGTGCGCTCCGCTGGGGGGCGCTCTGGTTCATCTCCCTGCAGTTGATGTAGAAGAGATAATCAAACCTGTCTTGGAAGAGCCTCCCGTCGGCCCAGTCCAGCATCACCTTGTGGGCCAGCATGGATTTGCCCATTCCTGCTGCCCCCTGCAAGACCACGGTGCGCGGCGGCTCCGGGCGCTCCTCATCTGGCTCGAAGAGTGTCTCTATATGGATGAGGCTGGCCGGGTGTCCTACGGTTCTCGCATGTCCCCGGCCTGTGTCCAAGAGCTTCTGCTGGGCCCACACGGGATTTGCATGTTCTTTCACCAAGAGGAGCCGGGTGTACCGGTGGCTGAGGTTGACGCATTCCCCTAGACGCGCATTGCGGTCTTCCATCAGTCGGAATTTCCGGCGGACATAGTCCCTGTAGGTTTCCTGGGGATCTAATGGAGAGGAATGGAGGATCCGTGGGAGACTCGTCAGCAACGTTTCATGAATTCATGAGTTAAAACAAACCTTGGTCTAGTACCTACTTGTTCTGCAATATCCTTGGAACAGTTTTCTAGATGGAGAACCTTGGTACCTCCCTCTAAAGATCTTGGTTTTCATGGGAAACAGAGGCATTAATGTGAGAACTGTTCTCATGCACAGTGCTCTATCCTTGCTACTCAAACGGTGGTCCGTGTGCCAGCAGCGTCGGCATCACCATTCAGGCTGACCGAAAACTGCAATGCGGGACGCACCAACCTCAGCCTCAGCACTCTCGGCCTCTCCTGGTGAAGGAACACTTAAATCTCATGTGGACCCACCAGGGAGCTGGTTGGAAATGCGAAACCTTGAGCCCCACTTCCCACCTACTGAATCAGAAACTCCATTTCTAACAAGATCGCTGAGTGATTTGCACGCCCGGTGAAACTGGAGAAAGTAGCGCTCCCAAGTTTTCTGGGTCCTATTTGAAAAAAAGGTAAACGCGTGTCTGCACCGAAGGAAAACTTATCCGTCCTATAAATCCTTTGCTTCAAGTCTCTTTGGGAAAGCCTGCTTGGTGTAGATGTCTATGAAAATTCTACAATAGTGGCTTTCAACGGGGGATTGAGGCCTCCCTAGGGGACATTGGGCAAGGTCTGGAGATACTACGGGTTGTCACAACTTGGGGTGCTACTGCCATCTAGTGGGTGGAGGTCATGGTTGCTGCTCAGCATCCTGCAGAGCACACGGGACGGCGCCCACAACAAAGAATTATCCAGCTCTAAAATCTAAGTAGTGGGAAGGTGGAGAAACCCTGATTTAGACAAAAATGTATCCCTTAGTATTTGCATGTCACCAGAGGCCCATAATATCCACCCAAGGGACGGTAAAAAAGATCTGAATTTGATCCCAGGACTCCCTCAAAAGGAATGCATGTACTCTTTCATTTTTAATTGTGGTAAAATAGACATAACATAAAATTTACCATTTTAACCATTTTTAAGTGTACAACTCAGTGGCATTAAGTGCACTCACAATGTTGTGCAACAATCACCACCATCCATTTCCAGAACTTTTTCATCATCCTTAACAGAAACTCTGTACCCGTTAAGCACTAACTCACCATTTCTCCCCTCCTCCAAGCCCCTGGCAGCCACCATTCTGCTTTATATATATGTTTGTATATATATAAATATACACAATATATGTATATATTGTATATATTTTTTTATTTGTATATATTATTTTATTTGCTTTTTTTGACACCCCCTTATAATTTGCACCCAAAGGAAGTGCCTCACTCACCACCTAACCCTATTGTCCTCCCCACACACACAGCCATCTCCCTGTAACTGATAACCTTGCAGTCTCACAGAGGGAATCCTGGGAGTTTTTTGGCACTCATTTCTCCCCAGCCGTGGGTCTACAAACCTTGTCTTTGTCTCTCCTGAATCTCTCTGTCCCCTCCTTTCCCCTCCCCTCCATCCATATGGCCATCTGCCATAGCTGTCCCTCACCTTCTCTCACCTCCCCTGAACTCCCTGTTCCGGCTCCTTCCCCTGAGTCCATCCTCCACACCAACCCCAAAGGAAAACTTTGCAGACCCACATTGGACCCTGTTCCTCTCCTGTTCATAACCCCTTCATGCTCCCATTGCCCTCATGACAAAAATCTAAGCTTTCGTCTAAGGTCTTCAGAACCTTCACGGCTTCTGCCCACCTTCCTTGACCCACAGGCTGTTGCTCTCCCAGGCCCTTAAACCACGGTCCCAACAAGCCTGAATTCTTCTCAGTCCCTTGCTCCAAGTGTCCCCTGTGACAATGAAAATCCCCCCAATTGAGAACTACTACTCTAACTATATTAGAGCAAGGACACCTGTGAAGTAGAGGAGAGAGGAAAGAGATGCTTTGCTAACATACAGATGAGAAAACTGAGGCTCCAAAAACAGACTTGACTTCTCCAAGTCTGCCTGGCTAGATGGTAGGTGATAGAAATAAAAACCCAAACTTGGGTGCTCTGGCTACCGAGCTCCTAACTCCAGACTGTTAATCCTGCCAGCTGCACACTTTAGACCTGCACTGGCCAATACAGCAGCCACTAGCCCCGTGTGGCCACTGACTACTTGAAATGTGCCAAATGCCACTGAGGAACTGGATTTAAAATTTTCATTTTCATTCATTTTAATTAATGTGTATCTAAATTTAAAAACCAATACTTGATTCAGTGATTGAAAAACTTGCAAGCATGTTCAGACAATGTATGAAAATCTGCTTTTCAACTGTGATTTTTGTGAAACCTAAATATGGCTCAAGTATTTCCAGTGACAATTTAGAATTCGAAATGAGATGAGCTGGAAGTGTAAGACACAGCTAACTTTGAAGACTCAGTACAAAAAAAGAATGCAAATATCTAATTAATAATGTTCCATATGGATCACTTGGTGAAATGATGATATTTTGGATATATTGGGTTAAACAAAAAATTTCATTAAAATTAATTTCACTTATTTCTTTTTACTTTTTTTTACTAGAATACTTCAAATCATGTATGTGGCTCACATCATATTTCTATTGGACAGCACTGCTTTAGAGCTTCTCAAATCATTATTTTGTTTGATGCTTCCAGACTCCTTAGAGAAGGAGGCAGGCAGAGAAGGTACATTTCACAAATGGGGAGACTGAGTCCCAGACCCAGGGGCAATGACTTGTCTAAGAACAGGTGATGAATCTATTGTAAGGCAGCGATGAGGATCCATGGGGGTGGATCCTAGCTCCAATGCATTAAAGATGTCCTTGAAAGATAGTCCAGAATCGTTTGTGTCCTTGCCAACAATCCTGATTCTATTCAGGTAGTGTGTGTTGATCCCTTGATTCCAGTGAATGTTGTCCCTTCACTAGCCCCAGGGGATGAATTATGCTTTGGCTGAACCAGTCATGAGTAGTCTCATTCCCCTAGCCAGTGGCTGGTCTGGGAATAGGTATGTGCCCCGGTCCTGACCAATGAGTTACACAGGTATGACCACTCAGGGGGAGCAAGCTTATTGGAAGGATTTTATTCCTGGATAAAATAACAGTCTCTTGACGAAGAAAGCCTTTTGTTTCCCTTTTTTCATTGCTTGGAATTCTCTTGTATGAGATGGTTTGGCTGCCATCTTGCAATCACGAGGTGACAAGTCTTAGGACAAATGAAACATAGGAAAAAGTGGGGCTTTGACGATGTCGTTAATCCACTACATGAATTCTGCAACCACCCACCCCAAGACTTCCTGTTATATGCAAACACTAAATAAATGTCCTTTTTCCTTGATAGTCTGATACATGTAGCCTAATTCATTTTAATGGATACTAACGGTTCATGGCTCACCTTTTCTTGGAGTTCCGGGAAAGATTTCCAGAGAACGTGCCGACTGGCTCCCCAGTGAGGGTGCGCCACCAAGTGGAGTATCTGGAAGAGAAATTTTGTGAGATCAGCTAACACATATCTGGCTAGCACTCAATAATATTAGCTACTATTACATCAAACTGTCTACATGATAACTCCCTGCCCACCCATACCCCAGAAGGTTTAGCAGTCACCTCACATGCACTATTGTTGAAAACATTTGTTCTTCATAACCCACTGTCCTTCCTGGGTACCCATCATGGTGATTGACATCTCCATCCATCCAATTAATCCCCTCAGCCAGGAAGTTCTGAGTCAGCTTGGAGTCCTCCCTCCCCTTCAGCCCTCAACCATGTCTCGCCCACCAACCATCCATTAATCCATCCAACAAATATACATACATTTGGCACCAATGTTATCCAGGCATTTTTCTAGACGTTGGATACATAGCAATAAACAAGACACGAGGTCCCTACTCCATAGATCTTAATTCTAATGGCGCGGGAAGTTAAGCGTAAAAAATAAACACCAAATATAACTTCAGATTATGATAAAAGTTGTGTCTAAAATTAAACACAGTGATAAGACAGAGTAATGAAAGTAACATTTTAGTTTGGGTGGCCAGGAAAGGTTTTCCTGTGGATGTATTGTAAGACCTAAAATTTCAAGTGCTTCCTTGACATCTTTGAGCCTCACAGGACCCCAAAGGCCTAAGTGTGAGTCCCTGTGCTCTTGTCAGATGTGCCCCACACCTATTGGGAAAGGCTCCCCACTCAGCTAGTTCTCTGATCAGGATTAGACCAACTGCACCCCACCTGGTCACCCTATCTCTTAGACCACCAACTGTACCTCACTTGATCCTCAATCTAACAAGTGTCACCTCCCTGCTGGCCCATGAAATTATTCAAACAAGCCAATCACATCCTCTTGCAGGAACGATAAAGCACCCCACACTCTTGTTACTCCAAAGCCTGCCTCCTACAGCCCCTGTTGGCTCATTGTGTTACTGAGTGCAACCACTGTGGGACCCTGCATGGTGCACGGGGTCCCCTCCCCTGGGCTGTGACTGTGACTAATAGACTGCTGTCAATCTCATCTGCCCAGTGTTGGGTGTCCTGTGCTCAACCAACTAGTACTATTCAGGGTGGGAGATCCCTCCTTCACCAATGAGATGAATAGGAGGTGACTGGAACCGAGGACAAGACATTTAATCTGAAGTCTGAATGGCAAGGGGCCAGATATGTGAGCAGAGGCATTCAAAGCAGGAAAAAACAGCAAGTGTAAAGGTCCTTGGGAAGAAACAATCTTGACACAACAGAGGAAATGAAGTTGGAGTGGAATGAGCTTCAGGGTAAGTGTTAGGGAGTGAGTTTGGAGAGAGAGACACAGCTAGCACCTGTAGGAGCATGTCAAGGAGTTTGGACTACAATCTATTCCCAACAGGAATCCAATGGAGGATTTGAAACAGGGGAAGGAGATGATTTAATTATAAAGATTACTCTGATGATGAGTGGACCATACCCCGTAAGGAGCAGTAGGGGAAGCAGGGGAACCATGGCAGAGAAGGTTGCAATTAGCCATTCTGGGTGACAGCAGTGAGAAGAAATGCATGGGGCTGGGATGTACTGGGATTTGCCAATGGATTGGATGTGTGAGGTTCTGGGAAAGAGGGACTCAGATATGATGCCTGAGTAAAACTAATCAAAAGTGATAAGAATCAGACATCATGCTCATTAGGATAGCTACTATTGAAAAAAAAAGATAGGGCCGGCCCCGTGGCTTAGTGGTTAAGTGCGCACACTCCGCTACTGGCGACCAGAGTTCGGATCCCGGGCGCGCACCGAGGCACCGCTTCTCCAGCCATGCTGAGGCCGCGTCCCACATACAGCAACTAGAAGGATGTGCAGCTATGACATACAACTATCTACTGGGGCTTTGGGTAAAAAAAAAGGAGGAGGATTGGCAATAGATGTTAGCTCAGAGCCGGTCTTCCTCAGCAAAAAAGAGGAGGATTAGCACGGATGTTAGCTCAGGCCTGATCTTCCTCACAAAAAAAAAAAAAGATAAATGTTGGCGAGGATGTGGGAAAATTGGAATCTTGGTGCGCTGTTGGTAGGGATGTAAAATGGTGCAGCCACTGTGGAAAAGAGTAAGGAGGTTCCCCCCAAAAATAAAAATAGAATTATCATATCATCCAGCAATTCCTCTTCTGGGTATATACTCAAAAGAATTGAAAGCAAAGTCTCGAAGAGATATTTGTGCACCCATGTTCATAGCAGCATTATTCACGATAACCAAATGGTGGAAGCAACCCAAGTGTCCATCAATGGATGAATGGATAAACAGAATGTGATAGATACAAAAAATAAAATATTATTCAGCCTAAAAAAGGAAGGAAACTCTGACACGTGCTACAGCATGGATGAACCATGAAAACATTATGCTAAGTAAGCCAGTCACAGAAAGACAAACACTCTGTGATTCCACTTATATGAGGTATCTAGAGTTGTCAAATTCATTTATAACAATTTTATATTGTATGTATTTTACCACAGTTTATTAAAAAAGTAATCATTAAACATTACAGCTGAAAAAGACCTCAAAGATTTACTACCTTAGTGTTCCCTAAAGCATGCCATGAGCATCACCCACATCGAAATGCAGATTCCTGGTGCCCCATCCCTGCTTAATCAGAATCTCTAGTGCGGGGTCTTGGATTCCACATTTGCAACAAGGTGTCTGGAGGATTCTTATGCACACTAACATGTGAGAACCACTGATCTAGTCCAATCCCCCTTGTCTTACTGATGAGGTGACAGAGGCACAGAGAGGTGCATGATTCTCCAACATCACATAGCTAAAAAAGAGCAAAGCTAGACATTTGATCTTCTTCAGACCACAGGGCTGTCCTCCGATGAATTAATAGGACATAGTCCGGAGAAGGACGCTCGCCAAATAGTTATCAGTTGTTGATGCAGGGAAGAGATTTAGGAATAGGAAGAAGGGAGGGAATTTATACTTGTTTATTATTTTAATTTCTTAAAATTAGTGTGTAAACTTCTATAAGTAAATACAATTATATAAAATGATAAATGAATACCTTTATACCTTTTTTTACTTTTTTGCTGATAGTTCTTTGATTTTCAATGTGCCCCTAAGTAAAGATGTGACTCAATCTCACATTCCCCAAGTCCAGGGCACCTTCAGTATTCTCCAAGAATGGAGACAAGGAGAGAAGGAATCATGTAAGATCATATCTGAGAAGGCTTAAGAGATTCTTTCTTTCCATTGCACGTTACCGGCCCGAGAGAGCCTGTTGTTAAATTTCTATGAATTACAAGCCAGTTGACATCACACTGGTAACTTAAAATCAGCCATCCTAAGAGTATTTACACCATGGAAATTAGCAAATGCTACAAACTAGGGCCTTTGTTTTTTCAGAGTTATTAAAGACTTTGTTTTTTCAGAGATGTTAAACATTGACCGGCACACAACTGCCCTCACACCTCCTTAACTTTGAGACACGAAGCCTCACAGAAGCGATGGTGTATAGCCAGGTATTGGCAGAACTTAATTATTCATTAAGCAAACATTCTCCAAGACTTACTCTGTTCTTGGCCATGGCCAGACACTGGAATCACAGAGAATCATACAGAGGAGTCAAGAGTTACCCTGCTTTTGGGGGGACCCTGTCCCATTAGGGGAGACAGGTGAGAAATTACATTAAAAACCAGAGCTCAAATGCCATCTCCACCACTTCCAATAATAGCTGGTATTTGCTGAGTTAATGTCTGCTGGATATTGTGGTAAGCACTTGGCATGTATTATCTCATGAACTTTTGTCTGGGGGTAAACCATTTTTTTTCAGAGTCTCAGTTTTCTCATCTATATAATAGATATAACAGTAATTATCTATCACACATCATTTTAAACATTGAATGTATTGACGTATTATTATGCACAATGGATGCCTTTTTATAGGACAGAATCAATCAGTGTTAGTACCATGGTGATTATTTTATAGGACAGAAGATATAATAAAAGAAATCTGGGTACTAACGAAGCACAAAAGTAGAGTTTCGAAGCCACCAGGGTGGTTGAGGGTGAGGGACAAGAGGAGAGAGAAGAGGAGTAAAGAATTCAAAGAAGGTAGTGCCTCCAAGGTTCTGATAGATAAATAAGAATTTTCCAGGCAAAGGAGACAGAGGAAGGGTGTTCCAGGAAGAACACAGCACGAACAAAGGCCAAGGGGCTAAAAGAGAACCCAGGTCTCATGAGCTCAGCAGTTGTCATGAAGGAGAAGGGAATTGGGTTGCAGCCTTGACCGTCCCATCACCTCCTTACCCCTCACCGGGTCCTCTCTCTGTCCTCTCTCCCACAGGTCCTTCCTGTTGATCCGCTCAAAGACGCTAAGAGCCAGCAGCCAGGCCTCCCCTATCCCACAATGCATCACAAGCAACTGAGCCATTTCCAGAGGACCAGCCTGCTCCATACGCCCCCAGGGGATCTTGGCCTCCCCCGGCTCCGTCGCAGTCCCCAGGTATAACTTGAACTTCTTCAGCTCCACAGCCTCCAGTTCTTCCAAGTAGGCAGAGAGGCGGCAGAGGCCATCCCTGACCAGGATTCGGGGCATGGGGGCGTCGTGAACCCCGAAGGAGAGAAGCTGGAGCCTAGGATGTTTCTACACGCAGGCCGGGCAATGCCAACATGCCCACCATCTGATCATTCACAGGCAGAGGCTGTAGGAATGACACAGAGGCAAGTCCTTCTGTTGAAATAGTCCTTCCTTATCCTGCAGCTCCCGCCTGCCCTGCCCCACTCACCAACGGTGTCCACTTTGAAGAAGAGGAAGTTGGGAGCAATTAGGAAATCACAGGAGCCATGCGTCTCATGAGAAAGACTTTCGCTTCTGCTCCCTCTTCCCGGCTCCCTTGACCAATCAGTCACTCTTTCCTCTGTCCTTCCTGCTGTTTTCCTCGCCTCGCTGGTGTCTGTGGTTGATGGGATTATTATCAAAATAGTTACTGCCCCTCCTTGTGGGAGGATTAGGCAACCTTTCCATTGGAATCAGACTTGGACGCACAACTTGTATTGGGTGATGGAATGTGAGCCAACGCTACTGTGAAATGTGAGCAAATGTGAGCAAATTTCTAGGAGGAATGTAAATGGTGCAATCGCTGCGGAAAACAGTTTGACGGTTCCTCAAAAAGCTAAACATAGAATTACTACATGACCCAGTGTGATGTTGTGATATAATAAAAAAATATACATTTGGTCTTCAACGCCCCCCCCCCAAAAAAAAAGTGTAAGCAAACTTCTCTTCCAGGTAGAAGCATTAAGAACTTTTCATGGGGCTTCTGCTATTTCCTCTTTTCTCTCAGCCACAAGACTGTCATATCCCAGATAGGGACTCTATGGTAGGCAGCATAATGTTCCCCCAAAGACGTCCATGTCCCAATCCCTAGAACCTGTGATATGTTACCTTATACAGCAAAAGAGACTTTGCAGATGTGATTAAATTTAAGGCTCTTGAGATGGGGAGATTACCCTGGATTATCCAGGTAGGCTCAAGGTAGTCACAAGGATTCTTATAGGAAGGAGACAAGAAGACTAGAGTCAGAGAGGCAATGTGATGATGGAAGCAGAGGTAGGAGTGATGTGATTGCTGGCTGGGGGCTATAATCCAAGGAATGAGGGAAGCTGCTAGAATCTGGAAAAGGTAAGGAAATAGATTCTTGCCTAGGGTCTCCAAAAGGAACAGACTGCTGACACCTTGATTTTAGTCCCATTTTGAACTTCTGACCTCCCACACTGTAAAATAATAAATATGTGGAGTGGTAATTTGTTAGAGCAGCAACGAGAAACTGACACAGACTCCTTTTTCAGCCTTGGACCAGGAATGAAAAGAACACAGATGAAGCCATCGCCAAGTGGCTCACAAGGAACTTGTATGTAAACGATGTTGCTGTTAAGTCACAAAGTTGTAGGGGTCATTTATTACTGCGGCATACCTCAGCCCAAACTGACTGATACAATGATTTAGTGATTTCTGGAAAGCAGTCAAAGCAGCATTGACTCACTTAGGTTGCCTTGGCCTGGAATTAGTAATCCCAATTCCAAAGCCTTCAATGAGAAGGAGAAATAAACTACAACTACAAGAAATAACGTGGATAAATCTCACAAGCGTAATGTTAAGCAAGAGAAGCCAAACATTAAAAAGTGCATTCTGTACAAATATTTATATGATGTTCAAAAACAGGTAAAACTAAAGTGTAGTGTTGGGAGTTAAGAGATTGGTTACTCTTGGGAGGGGGTACAATTCAGCCCATAATAGTTTTGATCACCATTTTCTTCCCACCAAATAGAATAGTGCCTGAAATACAGTAAGTGCCTCGTTACCTTTGATGAGCTATGTAATGAATGAATCACACATACGTGTAATATTTTATGTGACCCAAGATGGAGAACATTTTATGTACCACAAATTATCTAAGGGAGAGCACAGTATTTATTTGGGAAAAACAATATTTTATTAAACTACTTGGAATGGAAAATAAGACCTTAAAGCTGTGTCTAATCTATCAGTGGTGCTGGCTTGATCATTTTGCAGGAGGAAAGAAGCACAGAGAGAAATTGGGAAGAGAAGGGGAAGGGGAATGCGGTGAAGAGATTCTATGATATGATAAGGCCTTTCCTGGATTCGATCTCTCACTTTCATATGAAAATCATGAAATGCTTAATGTAGGACGATGTCTCATGGAATGTTGTGAAGGATTTTTTAAGTTATTATTATTGGTCTGGATTGATTAGGGGGATAAGACAGTTGGCATGAAGCAGGAGACAGACAGAATCATGAACATGTTATTCCACCAGAATTCATAAAAATAGGAGGCTCCCATGGGTAGCAGGGAGTCACTGAATGTTTTTGAGTGCTGTAGCAATGTGAAGAAGGTGTTTTGGGGAGATGATTGAGTTTCTGCTGTCTTACCAGGGGCAGTGATGCCATGGGGAGATCCTCCAGACTTTACATGTTCCTCTGGTCCCCACTCCATGCCTCACCACTTTGCTAGCTGTGTGACCTGGAAAAGTCACCTCCCCTTCATGATAAGCCTCTAAAGTCTTGGCAAAGGAATGCAGAAATAGAACACAGAGTAAATTCTTACATAAACTGTGTAAAATGGGATTCTAGGGGGGAGGTATTTGGCTCTGACTCTCAGATGTCACATACTTGAATTTCCCTACACTCACTTTCCTCTATTCCTACTGAAAGTCTGCCTATTCAACTGCTATAGCTACTAGGAGCAGGAACAGGACAGACACAGTCATGCATTGCTTAACAATAGGGATACGTTCTGAGAAATGTGTCACTAGGTGATTTCATCGTTATGTGAACGTCACAGAGTGTTAATTACACAAACTTAGATGGTACACCCTACTATGCATCTAGGCTATGTGATACTAATCTTATGGGACCACTGTGGTATATATGGTCCGTCGTTGACTGAAACATCATTATGTGGTGCGTGACTGTACTCTCAAAGGAAAGGGGAGGAATTTGTGAGGGCCAATAATGTTTTCTGGACTCAGAATATAGCTGGATCCAGAATATACAAAGAATATAGCTCTAGAGGTTATTTAAGGAATGGAATTGGGGTTAGTGACCATTTCCAGGGACAATCTCAACATCATGTCCCTAGTGTTTCTCAAACTTTAATGTGCATATGAATCACCTTTAATATGTGATCTTATTAAAATGAAGATTCTCACTCAGTGGATCTGAGATTCTGCATTTCCAAAAAGCTCCCAGTTGGTGCTAAAGCTATTGGTTCAAGTTCACATTTGCAGGAAGCCATACTTCTGTAAAGTTCAAACCTCTGTAAGCTGTCTTCAGAAGGTCTTAATACAGAGCAAATGTGAAGAAATAAATAAAAGGCGTTCTTATAAATGAAAACAAAATTTTATGGGATAACTTTGGATTTTCCAAAGCCATGGAGATGAGAGTTGTAGGTGCCAAAGATGCCCCAGCTGCTATCTGGGTGACATTCATTTTTTTTTTTTTTTTTTGTGAGGAAGATCAGCCCTGAGCTAACATCCATGCTGATCCTCCTCTTTTTGCTGAGGAAGACGAGCTCTGAGCTAACATCTATTGCCAATCCTCCTCCTTTTTTTTTCCCTTTTTCTCCCCAAAGCCCCAGTAGATAGTTGTATATCATAGCTGCACATCCTTCTAGTTGCTGTATGTGGGACACCGCCTCAGCAATGGCCTGACAAGCGGTGTGTCGGTGCGCGCCCGGGATCCAAACCCAGGCCGCCAGTAGCGGAGCGTGCGCACTTAACTGATAAGCCACGGGACCAGCCCTGGGTGACATTCATTAAAAATTATTTATTAAGCACCCACTTTATGCTGCCATGAAAGAGACGAGCCATGAAAGATAAGCAAATTCTCTGCCTTTATGGGACTTAACTATCTAGTGGAGATAACAGACAGACACAAATAAATGAATACATAAGCATTTATATTTCAGATCATGAAAAATGCTATGCAGGGAAAAAATATGGGGTGGAGGGGCTGGCCTGGTGGCATAGTGGTTAAGTTCCTTTGTTTCGCTTCAGTGGCCCAGGGTCTGCAGTTTCAGATCCCGGGCACGGACTTACGCACCACTTATCAAACTGTGCTGTGGCAGGCCTCCCACATATAAAGTAGAGGAAGATGAACATGGATGTTAGCCCAGGGCCAATCTTCCTCAGCAAAAAAAAAAAAAGGGGTGGAGAGTTTAGGAAGACTTCCAGAGGACATGATGTGTGAAGTGAGTCTTGAAGGATGAGAGTGTTTCAACAGAAGAGGGGAGTCTAGCTTTGCAGGTCAAGGAAATGGATTGACGTGGCAGGGAGGTGAGAAATCGCCGAGTGACTGGATGGGTCTGGAATGTAGTGAGAGATTAGGAAAATATCAGGAGATGAAGTAGGTGAGATAATCAGAAGACAGGTCAGAAACACCTTGAATGATGCTTGGACTTTATCCCGAGGGCAATGGGGAGCCATAGAGTGTTTTTTTTTTTTTTTAATTAAGGTAAAATACACAGTACATAAAATTTACCATTATAGGGGCCGGCCCCGTGGCGGAGCAGTTAAGTGCTCATGCTCTGCTGTTGGCGGCCCATGTTCGGATCCCGGGCACGCACCCACACACTGCTTGTCAGGCCATGCTGTGGCGGCGTCCTGTATAAAGTGGATGGAAGATAGGCACGGATGTCAGCCCAGGGCCAGTCTTCCTCAGCAAAAAGGGGAGGATTGGCATGGATGTTAACTCAGAGCTGATCTTCCTCACACACACACAAAAAATTACCGTTATAACTATTTTAAAGCGTACAATTCAGAGACATTAAACATATTGGCAATGTTGTGCAACCATCACCACTATCCCATTTCTAGAAATTTTCATCACTCCAAAAGGAAACCCTATACCCATTAAGCAGTCACTTCCCATTTTTCTCTCCCCCTCAGCCTGGCAACCACCAATCTTATTTCTCTCTCTGTGAATTTGTCTCTTCTGCAGATTTCATATAAATGGAATCAGATAATACATGAGCTTCTATGTCTGGCTTATTTCACTTAGTATAATGTTTTCAAGGTTCATCCATGTCGTAGCATGTATCAATACTTTATTCCTTTTTGTGGCTGAATAATGTTCCATTGTATGACATGGAGTGGTTTTGAGCAGAGAGGGATGGAGTTAGATCCATATTAAGGAA